TTATATTATATATACACAGATACAGTTTGTCTGTTTAGTGTAAGTTCGATTAAATTTATAAAGTTTGTTGTCTTACCTTCCATGGGCACATGTGAATCTGCTTTGTTGGCGAACACTATATCGACATAGTCCAACTGTAGACGGCCTAGGGACGCCTTGATCCCTGGTGATACAAAACAGAGAGACAAATATAATAATTGAATTATACAAAATGTGATCACACAGCAGCTAGTACGATACTGACTGCGCATTGCTGGCCTAAATATAAATTATGGACCCATCGTATCTGGTATTTAAAACAACAAGGCCAAACACAGAAAACGCTGAATGATCTGCTGGGGTTTGTTTGTTTATTTATTTTTGTTGAGGTTTTTTGTAGGCATTTTACGCAACCATCAACATAATATTTTATATCATTTTGGAGGTGAGAACACTGTCTATAAGAACTAACACGGGCTGGGAGTGCTACAACATCCCAACAGAGAGACATATATACTCGATATAAATTATCACCATTCTGTGTTCGACGGTGAAGCGCCAGACCGTTACATCAAAGATACCAGTCAAGTTATCAGTAAAATAATGAATAATTCTGGAGTTCGAGTTTGTGAAGGTGCTGTTAAAATCTACTTTTCTAGCAGGGGAGGCAACAATGTTGATATTGCCTTATCAAGATCTATTCTTTTAAATTGTTTAGTTATGTCCCTTGACTCTGGCCGGCATAATTATGAGAAGCTTCACAATGAAACGTAAATTACATTATAAAACTGTGGGACTTTATGTGGTGTCATTGCATACTTTTGTCCTTCTTTCTAAGTCCGTCTTGGTTTGTAAATGTGTGTGTGTGTGTGTGTGTGTGTGTGTGTGTGTATGTGTGTGTGTGTTTGTATGCTTGTGTGTCTGTGCGCAAGTTTGCGTGGTAATGTTCGTGTGTGTGTATGATTGAGTGTGTGTGTGTGTGTGTGAGTGAGTGAGAGAGAGAGTGTGTGTGTGTGTGTGTGTGTGTGTGTGTGTGTGTGTGTGTGTGTGTGTATGCGTATGTGTGTTTTT